TATCACACAAGAATTATCAACTGCAATCAATCTTTGAAATAGGAGATCAACCTTGGACCAGATAGATTCATAAATTAATTACAGAGGAGCTTCTGCCTAGTTAAAGCAGCAGAAAATTAAGTGTATTGGGCTCCGTTTGCATTGTATTGAGTGTCTGAGAATTTATGGAATTTAAAGAGATGCAATCTTTATGCCACAAAACGAATAATCTGAGATTGTACAGCAAAAAAAGTGTTTGCATGAGTCATTTATTTTGTGGTTTAGGATTAAATTCACAAGTAACTCAACTGAATTTAGGAAAAAGGTTTGGCCTTATTTCTGCCAAGGGGAGAGGGACAGACACTGCTGTGGACAGACACCACCCTCTGGCCCAGGTACCTGCAGGGACATCACTCTCAACAATAGCCAGGAGCTGCTGCTGCTCTTCTGTCCACACCAAGCTGATTCTCAGTGAGCCCCAGCCTCCTCCTTTGTTTGTCCCTGGAATTTCTTGCCTTTTGTCTTTCATTATTCCCACACATCAGTGGCACTGACATGTCCCAGTGCTCTCCCTGCCATTGGATTTTCTCTGAAGCTCCAGTTCATTTCATGACTCAGCACCTACCTCCTAACAAACATCCCCCACCATTCCTCTAAGAACAGGCTTTCCCCTTCCTTCGCTGTGTTTTCCATCATGGCATCTTTCCCTGATGATGCCAGCTTTCTCTTTTTCAGCTGACACATTAATTACTGCCAAGATTTGTTAATTCCCTCTGGGCATCCTCCTTTTTCTTCAGTTTGAGTGATAAACTGTCAGACCTAGGGACCCTCCAAACTGGCTCAAGAGCCCTGAGTTCAAGAGGGAAACAGAATATCACAGGATTTCACCTGCCACCTGCTAAGGTGATAAAGAGCAAGAGTCACAAGAGGTGAGTTCAGTTGCACTAAACAAGGACACTGCTCTCTCCCATGTAGACATCTGACCATGAACACTTTCTAAACAAGAAGGTTTTCAACACCTGGCCCACTGTTTTTTTGGTAAAAGCCACTGAAATAATTAGACTTATTCACTGTTTATAAACAGAAGGCCCATATTTTGACTACTAGCACGAATTGCCCTGATATGTGCAAGTACATCTAACAAACAGAGGGGCAGTGGGGGCTGTATCAGGCAGGAGAGAAATGGGCTGCTGGATAAGGATATCTCCTTCCTCCCAGGGATGCTGCTGGCTCCCCCATGGTTTCAATGGGGAACTGAAAATGAGGTGTCTCTCTTTCCCCATGACTGAAATACTTAAACATTTTTACAGCAGAGTTCTGAGAGAGCCAGAGTTCTGTGAGAGACTTTCCAGTTTGCTTCTGTAACATGCTCAGAATTGCTGAGCAATAAATACATTCTAAAATCAAGCTCTTTGTATCAGCTTATCTCAAAGCAAGCTACAGATGGAGGGAAGTATTGGGCCCACCCCTCTGTGCACTGGCACAAGGAGAAGTGATCTGTCCAGAGTAGTGCCACACCCCAACAGCTCTGAAACCCACTGCTGAATCCATTAGGTTTGATTCTCATTTGCCCAGAAGTTCATCTGTTGGCCAGAAATAGGTGTTGATGTGTTTAACCTCCTCTAAGCAGTGTCCTGAGAGATGGACAGTGGTCTGTGACCCTAAAACTCCACATTTTCCTCTGCAGGTGTTGTACTCACACCTGCCCTGCAGCTGGGATCCTGTCAGAGCAGCTGTGCAATGGCATTGCAGGAAAAACCCTTTCCACCCACCTACTTATATTCCCTGAAAATCTCCCCTCTCCCTGTTAAAACATGGGTTTGTCACCATGTGTGACAGTCATCACTGACTAGAACTGTTCCAGAGGAAACAAACCAAAGCAAAGGGGGGTCTGTACATTGCTGCTCCCAGCCTTTCACCTGCAGGCACCAGGAGAAGCCAGCTCTCGAGCCAGGAGCAGAGGAGGAGGAGGATGAAGAGCATCTGAACAGCAGAATCAACAACCACTGCAGCAGAACCCAGCCCTGCTCTCTCCACAGTGAGGAGCAGCTGTGAGACACGAGGCTCAGCTGTAACATTTCCTGAGATACTGTGGAGAGGCTCAGATTCATGCAGATGGGACAGCCAGAAGAATTCTGTGGTTCTGGAGACAGCAATATTTAAGAGATGTGCTAAACACCTCGAGAATTGAAGTGTGTCCTGTCTCCCTTTGAACCCCAGGCCTTGCTGGGCACATGCACAGCGCTGCTTCTGAAGCCCAGGGGATGTTAGAAGGCACTTAAAGTCTTCACCTTGCTGCTCTCATCACACCAGGGTGGGGTTCCAGCTGGATCCCTTCCAGGTGTCTTGAGTAAAGCACTCGTCCTGTTGCATGGACTGGCCTGACTCTTGGATACCCAGAAAAAAGATCCTCATCTCGTGCCATCCATTTGCTTCTACAAAGAACCTCACCAGTCCCAAACACTGTCCCAGCCTGCTTCCATCAGCAACCAGAAAATTGACCTGGAGCCTAAGTCACCACATGGAAAAAAAAAGCTGTTTTATTTCATCATGGCCATGATCAGCACCTGGCGTGTGGCAAACACACCTCTACAGAGCTTTCCTCTGGTTATAGATTGTCTTAGCTTGAGGAGACATTTTCTAGGCTAATTTTATATCTACTTTACTTGGCTATTTTTTATCCCTTTCTCTAAAAATGATTCTACAGTGGAAGAGAGCCCTTGGTTGCTTTGCATGGTTGTGGGGCACCACAGAGGTCAGCAACAAAATCACTCCAGTGCTCTCAGCACACTGGAGAAGGCTCAGGCTGCAAAATCCACACTGGACCCTACAGAGAAAATGTCACTTCCAGGGATGGCTGTCCCTGGAACAGTGTCTGGGTAGGGATCCAGCCTGGAATCCCAGAGCATCCCACAGGCTGTGCTGGGAATCATCAGGAAGAGCATCACTGACCTCAAAGGCATGAAAAGGCAAAGTCAAGGCATTCCAGGAAATGTTATCCACAAGGAAACTAACACTTTAATGCCCTTGCTTCCCATTGGAAATGCCTGGGTGTGACACTGCTTTGCTGTTTGCCACAATTTTTGGTTCTGCCTCCTTTTTTTCCCTTTCAAAAGTACTGAACAAGCAAATGAGAGAGAAATGGCAGCTTGACCAAGTGTGGGGATTTTTGTGTGCCTACACATGTGTTAGCTGAGGGTGAGAGAGATGGGGAAGCTGTTTTCTAAGCAGGATTATTCTATCATCTATGGAAATAACACAATTAGGGTTTCTAACTCCTGAGAAGACAATAAATAATGTGCAGATATTGGAAACCCAGACAGTGGTAGGGAAAAGCTGCTTCCAACTCCCACCACAAAGTAAAATCTCATTGTCAAACTCTTTCCAAATCACTTCAAGATATTTAGCTGGTGGAACTGAACTAGCTCCAAATCATATACCAGACGAGGCTTTAAACCAGAAACTTCAGGATTATAAATGTTTTACAAGTGATAAAAATCCCAAGGCTGAAGGTTTTGCTGCATTGCTCTCATCTTCTACAGTCAAGACCATCACCTGAGTGTAAAAATGCTAAACCTTTCTGTCTGTACAATTCCTTCCTAATGGCTGTGCCTGAAACAGGGATCTTAATATGCAAATTTGCTAAATTATTCTGAATAAAGACAGATTTCAAAGAAACAAAGCCCTGCTACTTTAAGAGTTCCTCCAATTTGTTTTTAAATACTGTATTGTTTTAAAACAATATAGTCTCAGTGATTCAATTAGGCTCTGAAAGCACTAAAGGCAGCCTCATGAGGCAAATTAGACAGGGTTTTTATAGCAGAATTAATATGGCAAATCCTCATATCACGTAGAGCTTTATGTGCTTGTAAATGTAAAAAAAAAATAAAAATATGAAAGGTGAACTGTGGAGTATATAGTGGAATTACTGTCATTGCTCCAGGATCTCACAGGGTCTGGAATTGCCATAGTAAATTGGAAGTAATTACTAATTCACAGCAGTTCAGGAAAGCTTTCTGATCAAATCCAAGCTTAATCTCGTGAAAAGTCAACAGAAGTAAAGCACGTGCTAAAATTTAAGCTTTTAGGTTTTTTTCCTGAATCACAGCTGTCCTTCTGTTTCAGTGACTAAGGTCTGATGCCTGTGCACTGTTTCTCTTTGTATTCAAATCTAGATGAGGGATCCTACAAAGCCAAAGATAACTAGTTCTGAATGTATGTCACATTCCACATGCATTTCTGTACAAGAACTCATGCAATATTGGCATTAATACAGACTTCACTCTATGCTACAGCTGAAATGCTCACTGACTTCTACTGCCCAGGCATTTCTACCTAGAAAATTGCTTCTTAAAACTTGGGAGTCTGACCTCATACCCTGTTTTCTTTGTGGCTTCTGCTGGTTTGAATGGCTATTTTTCCCACTGAACAATTAAATTTAATCCTTTTAGGCCTTTTCAAGGTCCCCCTAATTCCCTGAAGGAATTGCTGGGCTCAGCCCCACCACAGGATGATCCTGATGCAAACAAAGCTGCATTCCCAAGGGACAGCTGGCAGGATCAGGTCTGGGATGTGTCACCAGGTGCAGCTCAAGAGGAAGAGCTCAGTGATGTTGCACCAGGAAAAGCATCTCCAAATAACCAAACAGAGCTTCTGGCAGGAAGGAAAGGAACCCCTGCTCAACAACCATCCAAACAAAGCATCATTCCTCCCTTGGGATCCTGCTTTCTCTTACACAAACTGGGTGAGAGCAGTTTCCCCCACCAGCAGCTCAGGCTGCAGAGGGCAGCCCAGATTTGGGTTTTCTGCTGGATCTGTGGTGAGCATCCTGCACTGAGCAGCACGAGAACCTTGGTGGGGCTGCATGGCTGGTCTCCTATCTGAGGAAAGGTGGCAGGACAGGCTCACCCTGACTGTGACAGGAGTGGCCTCTGTCACAGTGTGACAACCCTGGGCTGCAGCTCCAGTCCGTCCATGGTGACTGCTCAGGGTCCCTGCACAGGCAGAGACTCAGGGAGATTTCCACCAGCACAACAGAGGAGAGGGTAAGAGCATGTCAAGTTATCTGTCCCACTAAAGCTTTCCCTAAGACAAAAGCTCTGATGAATAATATTGTTATTAGCATAACAAAGGCCTTTGACATCCTTATGCTGAAAAAAGTCCTTTTTGCTCATGACCAGCTTCTGCAGTAGCACTCACAGGATTAAACAGCCAAAAATTAGCACCCATAACCAAATCTGCACCCAGAATATTTCAGCACCTTCTGTTAGAGGATCTGAAAGCACTTGACACATGTTAACCAACATTTGGCCTCACAACCCCCAGTGAGGTAGAACAGAGCTGTCCCTGCAGGGACAGACAGACAGATTGAGGCACAGGGTTACTCAGAGACCTGCTCCCATTCAGTCACAAAATTCAGCAGTGCCAAGGGCTTAGAGGTGTGCTGACTGCTGCACCCAAGCTTTGTCCACAGCACCATCCTTCCCCCCCACAAACCCTCAATGAGCCCTTAGCCTGTGAACTAACCCCAGATTCTATTTACAATATTTAAAATGACCATTTAGCAGTTGTGCAGTCAGAGAGTTATTCAATCAAATGAAGCTATCAGCGAGAACAAATGGCTCCTTGTGCAAAACTCTGGCTGTAAATGATCATGCACTAAGACTACTGGGTGCAAATTTGGTGCATGATAACTCTGACCCCTTGACAATTCCCAGTCCTGGCCTCTCTCTGATAAATCTCTTTTAAAAAGTTGCATTATAAGTATGATCACACGAGCCTTGAAAGATGCAGCCTGCACAGATTGTTTTCATCCCAGCAATGCAAGCAAACAAAACGTGGAGTGGCTTTGGGAACAACCCAGCATTCATGGAGCATCAAACATCACGAGGATGAAATCCATCCTAACCACAAGGGGCTGCAAGGCAACAGGGAGTAGGTGTCTATGTTGGGAAAAAAAAAAATAGGAAAAAGCAAATAGAGCAACAAAGAAAGGCTTGATTGCACAGATTTCAATTAGGTAAAGTTCTGCAGGAATCAGTTTCATCAAAGCTTGTTCCATGAGGGAGGGAGGCAGTGGCAGCTGGCCTAGGACGAAGCTTTGGCGCAGTAAAAACCACCAGCCCTGCGTGAGGAGATGAACTTTGCATTCTGGAGGAGGCATTACTGATTAATAAAAAGCAAAAGCTTCTCTAAATACAGCGAGTTTGTTTTTTCTCAGATAGAAGAGTTTCTTAAAATACAGGTTTTTAGAACACCACAAAACTTCATTTGTTATATAAGTAGAGAATCTGGCCATAGTTAGGAATACTGAAGTGTAAAAAACCAAATACGTAGTCTTAAACATTACAAAAACTATCAAAACATTCAATATTTTGAATTGACCGTTTTTCCCCCCCTACACGTGTCTGTTTTGGCAGTGATGACAGGATTTCTAAACTGAGTTGCTGTTATTATTGTTCTGCAGTTGTGGTTGGTTTTTTTTTGTACTTTTTTTTTTTCTGAACGTGTTTTTTAAACAAAAGAAAATTACCAGCTTTTATAAAAAAGAAGGAGCTTGAATCCTTACTCCCAAAACACAGATAAAAGGTTTTCCTTTATAAAAAGTGTATTGATTTTTTTTGCTATAAAAAGTGACCTATCGGGTGTCAAACCTGAAAACAAATTCTCACAGTGTTTTCAGTGTTGGCTGTTCACAAGGCATTACTGTTACAAACAGAGATAGAGAGATACCATAGGGGAGGTATAAATATTTGTTACCAGCTAGCAGCATTGCATGTGGAAGATGTTCTACACCAGATAACTCAGCTGATTTATGGGGTTTTTTGCTTAATTATTAAAAAAAAATCCCAAACAATATTTGAATAATTTGAATTAGTGTACAAACTTTACTTAGCATCTGACATAATCGTTCCTAATCTCATCCAAGCTTCTGCTGGCATATTAAGCATCCAACTAGAAATTCCCTTCCTGCTCTCCGCAATAAAACCAAGACTCTTTAGAATGCAGGTGCCAAAACTGGGGCTGTGAATGAGGAGCAGGTGAGCTGGCACTTTGCACAGGTGGGGAACGTCACCTGCAAACTGCCCAGCAAGGGCTCCATTTGCACGCCTCCAGGGGAACTACTTTACTAACACCAGGAAAACCACATGGTTGCAGCAGCAGAGGAAACAACAGAAGAAAATGGGAAATGCACAGAATCCTTGGCACAGAGGCCCCAAATTTCTCACAATGCCCATTTTGCACCCCTGTGACTTAAGAAGAATGGTATCCCTCTATCTCTATAGACTGGCAGGTGTTGGTTTGTGGCACAGAGAGGAGAAATCACAGAACAAAAATGACATTTAACTGCGTGTCCTTTGACTTGAAAGCACCAGTCACCGATCTGCTTGTGTGGCAGAGGAACTTTGCTGTATCCCAAATGCAACATGGACATCTTGCTCTACATGGAGTCTCCCAGGGAATCCGAGTCATCCAAAGACAGAGGCAGGTACAAGTCCTGTAGGGAGAAAGGGGAAAATGTTAACCCTCACCATCAGCTCCCAGCCTTGGCCACGCAAAGGGAAGCAGCTCAGAGGCTGAAATTCACATTCCAGAGGGTGGAATGTGCTGGTGACTGGGCTGGGATTACCAGAATCCAGGGAGCTCAAGGCTTAAATCAAGGCAGGCTCCTTGCACAGAGGAGCAAGAGCATCTCTGTTCCTGATGATTGGCCAGGAATAACTTTCAGAAATGTTTTTTTTATTCTTCTGGATCAATGTGTCCATTCCAGCAAGTGCATCTTTGTTCCTGATGACTATTCAGGGATAAGTTTCAGAAGTGTTTTTTTATTGCTCTGGATCAATGTGTCCATTCCAGCAAGTCCATCTCTGTTCCTGATGACTATTCAGGGATAAGTTTCAGAAATGGTTTTTTTGGTGTTCTGGATCAATGTGGCCATTCCAGCACATGCATGAAAGAGCAGCATCGTGCCTTAAACACATCTCTTTAAGCCTAAATCCAAAATAAAGAGTCTTACCTTGGTTTGACAGCTGCCCTCAAGACAAATCTCCAGGAAAATCACATGTTCCATGGTTTTTTCTTTATTTTAAGTGACTTCTAATCAGTTGGAAAGGTTAATAAAATAATCCCAAGTTTGTTATTTGGATCAAATGCTCACTGTAAAGCTTTTACTGTGTCCCTTTCTGGTGTAAGCATTTTATTGCATTTGTTAAAAGTTCTGTGTGGGACAAGGTACAGGAATAAGCTCAAGAGCTCCCCTGGCACCTTTTTGAACTCTGACCCACACATAGGTAATAACTGTGAGCAAAATGAAGAAAAAAACAAGTATTTGTGAAAGAAATCCCAGAAATCTTGATATAAGAAGAGGTAAAATAGGACTTTGTGGTGAATTCAACCTAAGCATTTATCACTTGAGCTTTAAGGAGAGAAAAGTGATTTCATCATAAGCAGGAAATTACTTCTGGCAGAAAGACAATGATGCATGAATATTCTGGTAACCTAAAATGCTGAATTAGTGTTTGCTGATTGGCTTAACTTAGTGGAGAAAATCATAGCTGGGCTGGCTTTGCCCTCAGCAATCTCCATCTATTACAAATGGTCTCAGGGCTGCACTGGAAAGGTCATAAATCAGCCAGCTGCAAACATACATAAAACATTAAAAAGGTGAGTTTTACTTGTCTTGAGCAAGAAACAAATCCTCATCTCCAAAGTTCTCAATGAGCTGGAAAGTTTGGAAAATATTTAGTGCTCCTAATGCTGAAGCAAAGGATGCAGTTTGCAGCATTACTTCTGCTGAAATGATGAACTCAGACCATGGGCCAGATTCTGTCCGCAATTATAAATGAACAACAAATCTGGACACATTGTGTTAAATTTGGTGTCTTTCCTCAAACTTAGATTGAACAGCTGAGAACAGAGTGAGGTCCTGAGGAAAATACAGTTTTCATTTGGATTCAGCTATGTCTTTGTTAAACAGAATTCGTTCAACCCTGCAAGCTGCCCCACGGTGGGTTCCACATGGCTGCTGACTGCAAAACTTCAGCACCACCAGAATTTTTAAATTACTCTTCAAAATCTTTGAGTCAATGCTTTCAGAGTCAGGCTGAGAGGTGCATTTTGTTTTACTAAAGAGAAACCCCCCTGACTTCCTCTCTCACCTACTTTTGTGCCCAAGCTCCAATTCCCGGATCAAGTGAAAACTGTTGGAAGCAGCATTGTGGCTATTCCAGAAATGCAAAGGCTCACAGAAATGAAAGTCAGAACTCAGCACACAGTGGCCCTGAATAACAGGAACTGAAAAAGCTGTGACAGCTGCTGTACCTTTTAAATAAATCAATGCATGAATTATCCATGAGCCAGCACAGGTTTCCTGGTCCCTGCCAGGATGCTGTGCTACCTGTTGGCCTGTTCCACAACACAATTATCACACCAGCTGTAAGAATCAACTGATTCCTGTAAAACAGAGCATGGCCTTAAATAATTAAAAAAAAAACTTAAATTCTTCAGGAGCATCATTAAAGTGACGTCTGAGAGCTCCAGTAACATTTGTGTTGCCTCTGCTCTTTAATGGGCCTGATTTGCCAACGCTTGAAGCTTTTCAGGCCGGGAGGGCTGACATGAAACCACATCCATCAATGATTTTTTCAAACAGTGGTACAAGCTCATGGTTAAGTTGTCTCCTCTGATCCCTTTGGATGGTCTCCAGCACACATTAACAACTCCAGAGGAGGAGTTGGGCTTTGCTCACCACCTTGCCCTAAAGCACAACTTTTACAGGTGAAGGCCCAAACTGCCCTGTTTGAACATGAGTTGTTGTTATTCTTCCAGAGGATATGGCCATTTCAAAAGCCGAGGGGCTGAGGCAGAAGGAGGTGTAGTAAGGTATAAGAAACGTAATACCTTGTGCTTGCGGAGGCTCCCGGGGCTGGTGGGCGTGGAGATCGGCGACTGCTTGGACTTGGGGGTGGACAGCTGGCTGCTGGAGGTCCCGTTGGCTGCCAGGAAACAGAACACAAGCTGGACATAAGGCAAGCAAGGGTGTCGCAGACATCTTTTCATGAAAAAACCTTTCTTTAGGATTTTTCCTCCTGAGAAGCTGAGAGGCCTCAGGAACAAAATGTAAACAATGGTTTTCTGCTGCTGTGGAATGCAACAGGTGGATCTTTGATTAGCCCATCTTGGATGTTTGTAATTAATGGCCAATCACTAGCTTGGGCAGAGAGCCCAAGCCACAAATCTTTGTTATCATTCCTTTCTATTCTTAGCTTAGCCAGCCTTCTGATGAAATCCTTTCTTCTATTCTTTTAGTATAGTTTTAATGTAATATATATCATAAAATAATAAATCAGCCTTCTGAAACATGGAGTCAGATCCTCGTCTCTTCCCTCATCCTAAGACCCCTGTGAACACTGTCACGCAAGGGGAAGGGTTTTCTCCTTTGGGGAGATGGAAGGTCTCCAAACATTTAACACCAAGGTTTATTCATATTAATAAATAGCAGGAGGGAATAAAAACCAAACCAAGTGAACAGCATAGCTGTAAAGATAACTCGAGGATTTCAGCTGCAAAATACAGTGAGATACAAAATAAATTGAGGGAGCAATATTTCACACAACAAATACTCACCAAGACAATCCAAGGCACATATCACCAGAAAAACTGAAAGACAATTTGTGTTCTCAAACTGTTCAAGGGCATGACTGGAAAACAGAGGCTGAAGATATCCTGAATCCTACTCAAGCAATGTGAGATGTCAATGATAGACATAAAAAATTAGACAAACAGCAGCATGGAATGGCCTGGATGTAGTTTGCTGAGGGTGGGATTAAGTGACCAAAGAGCCTGATGGACTTATGCTTTTAATTTTAACAGCTGAATCTACAAATCAGTTACTTAAAATTCATCAAGTACTTGAATGTCTGGAGGAGACTGAAGAAGTGTATAAAGTATCATAGAGTAAAATGTTTGAATGTTGTATTTTTAAGAGCCAAACCAGGACAGCTCTTGCTTTAAAGCCTCACAAAACCTCACTGCTCTTCTCTGTTACCTCCTTGTGATGAATAGGGGTAGCTCAGCCTTGCAGCAAAGGCAGAGGTCAAGCAGGTGTGAAAAGAAAGATGTGCTTGTGAAAAATGCATATTTTATGATTGGCTTTTCACAAATATTAAAATGAATATTATATGTGTTGTGTTAGAAAGTAATGCTGTACTAATTCTCTTAAGTACTGTGTTAAATATAGTTATAGGTTATAAAAATTGTTATAATAGAAATGATGCTATGTAGGGTACTTTTTTTAAAGAAAGGACTCGCAATGAGATAGCAGCCTCAGGACACCTGAATCTTTCAGAGAAAGAGAATTTATTGCTCCATTATCAGAAGAAATTAACTTCTTCCTGCCTCAAAGGCGCTGTCAGGATTCAGAGGAAGAAGTTGACACTGACCAGCCAGAATCCTGTGTTTGAATGGAATTTATGCATCATGTATGAGGTGTATGAATATGCAACAGGCTGCTGCTTTTAAGGGTGAATCCTCTGGTAACATGGGTCCTTTTTCGGGCTCATGCTGCCCAGAAAGAGGTACCCGGACTGTCCATAACTCTTTGTTTCTATTGTCTCTTATTGTCCTAATCAAAATTGTCCAAATTATTATTATTCTAATTGTAATACTATTTTTCTAACCATTTTATTACTATTAAACTTTTAAAATTTTAAAAACAAGTGATTGGCGTTTCTCACTTGCTCAAAGCCCTGGGACACAGGAGGAGCTGCCAGCACCTTAAAGCAACAAATTCATGGTGTTGTGGCTCCTCTGCCTTCACATCCATCCTTTCCTGTTGCAAGAGGAGGGTATTCATCACACACAGCTTTTTTCCTATTACAAATGCACCTAACTGAGGAAATGGATATTTTTAAAAGGTGGTAGAAATAATGATTTATAGATAATTGGGGAACAGAGTGACACTTCACCTCCTTATCTTACTCAAACCATGCTTTATTGATAGTGGGAAAAATCTGTTCTTGAAAGGCAGGAGCTGTTTCCTGCTGGCTCCTGCACTGAAATGTGCCACTCTACAAAATGAGCTGCCCTCCAGGCTGGTGGGAAACAAAGTAGAATTCTCTAACTGTATGCCAAATAATGAAGGCAATTCAGTAAAAAATAACTTGGATCTCTTTTATGTTTTATTTCACTGAGTGAATTTGTGTTTCCTATTAAAGAAAATGTGGGGAACAAGAGGACTGATATAATCTCCATTAGCTAGAATCCATTTCCAATTTCTAAAATGCCTCTTTCTTTATCTCCAATTGTCACTGATCCTTCCTAAGCTGAAGAATGCCACCTAACAACTCTGCAAGAAACCCCAATCTCCTTTCCATAAACAAGACTGGAACAACAGCAGAGCCAGTGTGCAGCAAAATGGATGTGATTGCTGCAGGGCAGGACAGAAATTCCCTAATACAATGAGAGTTTTAAGTGCTACAGCAGGCATTGTAAATATTTTATGAGCATCAACAAAAAACCAGATGTGACATCCAAATCAGAAATGGAATGAGATGGATGGATATCATTACAAAGCCAGCAGAATTTTGCAGCAGGAGTAACAATGAAGAAGCCCAGTTTAATTTTCTCTGCCTGCTAATGAAGAATAGTGCTCTTAAGCAAACTTGCCTGCATTTCCTTTGAACTGAAATGCAAGAAAATAACAGGAGGCAAAGAGCAGGCCCTAGGTGGTGCATAACACTGCTGCTCCACTAAAATCTGCTGATGATTTAGGGTAGCTCAGGATCTCACCTACACTCAGCTATCAGGAACTGTTCTTTAGAACCAGCTTTCCTTTCAATTCTTTGGGGTTTTCCCACCATTTTATTCTTTGTGCATTATGGCTTATTCATGGCATGTATTTGCTCTGCAACATCAATTTACCCTAAAGTGTATCTGTATTATTCTTTAATTGCAGGAGCACGTGCACCTTTTTTTCCACAGGATCCTCACCTCCCCCTGTGCATGAGGTAGTTTGTACTCAGGAGAGAAATCAGACCTGTCAGCACAAGAGAGGGAGGATGGAGAATATTCCTGTTGTGTTTGAGATGAGAGATCCAGGGAAATGGAATTCTCTGCTTCCCCCACAGATATTTCAGAATTATAGAATGGTTTGGGTTGGAAGGGATCTTAAAGCTCATCCCATTCCATGTCCCAGGACCTCCCACTGTCCCAGGCTGCTCCAAGCCCCATCCAGCCTGGCCTTGGGCACTGCCAGGGATCCAGGGGCAGCCACAGCTTCTCAGGCACCCTGTGCCAGGGCCTGCCCACCCTCACAGGGAAGAATTTCTTGTTTATGTCTAAACCTGCCCTCCTTTAGCTTAAGTCCATTCCCCCTTTGTCCTATCACTCTATGCCCTTGTCAAAAGTCCCTCTTCAGCCTTTTTTAAGGCCCCTTTTTAGGCAGTGTTGGAATTTTTTAGGCAGTATGGAATTGTTCCCTGAGTGCTGCTTAGGTTTGCTGGGGCTCTGGATCCAGAGTTAGTTGTCCCATTCCAGCTTTAGCCCATGCAGTCCCATTCTTGTTGTTTTTCTCTCTTCAGCCCACACTGTTTGTGCTCTTGGGCTGAGATTTGGATCATTTGTCCTTGGTGCCCAGCTGGAGCAGGAATTGTTTTGTCTCCCTGCTCTGTGCACAGAGCTCACCATCCCCTCGTATGAAGCCCAGACCCACACAGTAAAGCAGCACAGAATCTGAGAAATATAAAAGCAAAACCTGAGGCATCATGGCATTCCCCAGACATCTGCTGCCTTGGACACACTCATCCCTAATGACCCCTGGGAGCAGCCCTGCAGCCAGGACAGACGGACACTGGGTCTGTTTGCTAATTGCTGCTGCCTGCTGAATGTGCTTTTGTCCCTCTGTCCAGTAGTGGACTGAGACATTAAAGGTCCTGCAGCAGCCTCAGAGCCCTGCTCGTATTCTCCCCAGGCCAAATCAAAGCAAAGACATTTTCAAATTTCAGTGACTCTGTCCTGATTTTAATAATCATAAGCTCTCCCATCACAGCACATGTTTTTATACATGTGAACCCTTGTTTGGCACGTCAGTTAGTGTAAGATAAATTCAAGTTTTTATAACAAAGAAAGAATGGTAAATGACATCATTATTTTCTCTCCTGTGTTTCTCCCCTGAGATTTAGCTCTGGCTTTTGCTTGGCCTGACTCCTTATTGGAGCAGTCTGTTAGAGAAATTCTGCCAAACTTCATGCTGACCCTACTCCGTTTGAATCTCATGGATCAGAGCAGAAGCACAGAGGTTCCTCATGCCCAGTTTTCCTCTGCCATGCTAGGAGAAGGAATTGGCTAGTGCCCTGCAGGTGAGGTTTGTATGGATTTCACTGCTCTGACCTGGCTCTTTCAGCAAAGCTGAGTCCCTAGGAAGAAACATTGAGGTTAGAAATACACAGAAGCTTTGTAATAACTCAAATTCTGCCAGAAATCCACTGGCATTGCTTACGAAGGACAGATATGGGTTAGGTGTTAGTGAGGGAAGGGAGAAAGGATTTCCCTTGGGAATACAAGGATTGGGGTGAGCTCCCATCTCCTCAGAGCAGGGAGACATTTCTTTGTTCTGCATTCATTCATTTCATTTTCATTCATGCATTTAAATGACTGCACGGTAAGAGAAAAGCACCGTGCAAAGAAAACAATGTTTAAATTGCTTCTGTGGATTTGCCACCTCACTTTTTTGGATGTCCTGGGAGCTGAAGGACTCTGGCTGCCTAAAGGGATTCAGCTTTCCACAATGAGGCCCTGACACCTCACTGTGATGTGAGTTCAGACTCCTCTCACCCAAAGATTCCCCTCCAAACCTGCCCAGACATCAGTGCTCAGATATGTCACAATGGCTTTGGAGACCTTGGTGGGAGAATAGGATACAGAAACCTGCACAGAAAAGAACTGGGAAGAACAGAAACAACACAAAACCAAGGAAAGGCTCATGAGTTTCCACATGACAACCACAGCAGAGGGAAAGATAACAAAGACAAAAGGTACAAATGGGTAGGAGAGCAAACACACAGCAGAAATATTGCATATATTTGAAGTAAAACTGCTTTTAAATAGTTTCACACATTAAATGGGTGAGATTCTGAGGGGAAAAAAATAGGTCAGATCATCTTTTATTAATCAGACTTCATTCAGCTTTCTTTGCTTTTTGAATGTGATAACTCCAAAATCTCATCTAAATGTAAATATTGGTTCTTATAAGATGTGTAAATCCACTTAGTTTATTACCAGTTCAATACAAGAATACAAAATAGTATTCTTTTTTCTCTCTGTTCTGAGAAAACAAGAGTCTTCTATTTTTCAGTACTAAAAGAGCTCAGTCTTTTTTATTCTTATTAAGCAGGACAAGTGCCATTTTTTCCTTTATTGAAATTACAGGAAAGCACGAAAGTCTCTTGTCTGGATGGATTAAAGAAACCTGATTTGCTCTTCATTACTGACCTTAACTCCAGGAACTGGTTATTGTTCAGCCTTTCTGGTTGTTTTAATCTCCCCCTGAAAAGCTCTGCTAAGTGCTTTTTTTTTTTAATTAAAGCTCATCAGATGAGTCACCATTCTGGGCCTGGAGTGCCTCAATCAGTTAAAATCAGGCACACAATAATTGCCATTTCATAATAAACCCTATGCTCATGCAGTAAACTCTGCTTCTGGTGGGAATCAGCACCTGATGCTTGTAGAGGAGGTTTAAAGCTGCTCATGCATGAGCTCACTCCCACAGCACTGAGTGTTACTTCTGGGTTTTTGTAAATCATATTTCTCATTGTGCCTTCAGTGTGCCTACCCAGCTTCAGCAGGCATTTGGGATTGTGGAAGTGGGTAAATTATGGCAAGCCTGAGTTTGAGAATAGCCAACAATGGAATCTTGAAGAAAAACTTTATGACTGCAAAATCACCTCAGAGAGAAATGTTTTTTTAAAAAAATACAGAGTCTTGGCATGTGCCAACCCATTTCACACTGTCCCTTTAGGTAGCTGAAGAACACCCACACACCCTAAACAAATGAATTGCTTCCTGAGGGAAATTCTTCTGACTGCTGCCAAGAGAATTTTCTGACTAATAATCCCATTTCTACTGATGGTCAGCTGTTGTGTGATGTTCCCATGCAATATGCAGCATGTTAGCATGATGGTGAAAAGGAATTTCTGGTTTATGTCACCTGTGTTGGTGCTGTGGGACCCCTGAACTCAAGCTGTGAAGTTCTCCTGGAACTCTGACATGTTTAATTGATGGTTTGGCAGTTTTAGTGAGAGGCCATGTCTGGTTCTCTTTTGGAACATCTGAAGGGTGGTGATGGACTGAGAGTTGGTGATATGAGGGATGGCAACTGAGTTGAGAGTCCAAGGTTTTGTCTTACTGTGATGTATTGGGAACTTGGTTGGGGGGAGGAGGAATGTTTGGAAGGTTTTCATCCTGAGTTCTGTGTGTTTCTTTTATATATTGTAAGTTAATAAAGGTTTTTTTTTTCCCTTCCATTCCTAAGCTGGAGCCTGCTTTGCTCTATTCCTGGTCACATCTCACAGCAGACACCAGGGAGAATGCATTTTCATGGGGGCACTGGCATTGCACTAGCGTCAAACCGTGACTTTTTTGGTCAATCATAGCCCCAGAAACTCTGCGTGACTCTAAAGACTGTCAATTACCAGAATCACTGCAATATGCAGCCCAGCCTTGGATTGACAGCCCTGCAGCTCCCCACATGTGCTGCCAACCCTGGTGCTGCTGCAGAAGGAGGGAAACCATTTCAAATGGTGCAAGCTGCTGCAGCAAATTAGGAATCCCATTTTCCCTCTCTTCCATTACTGAATGAGTGTCTCAGTGTCCCATCAATAAACCCATCAGCAGTTCTGCAATTGCAAGGTCACTGCTCTCCTTTAAATAATGATTGCGAGGAGCTACTCCTGACCTGTGCAATAATCACCATTTGCTTTGCACAGGATGTCACCCTAAATCACTCTGTATCTGCAGGGACCATCTGGGAGCACTGTGGGTCTTGATTTCCTGCCTGGGGAATAGAAACTTCTTTTAAAATACTTTTTGGGGAAGGAGCTGTGAGCCTGTGGCTGGAACAACCCCAAGCTGCAACCGCGCTTCACCAACCAGGAGATTGCTTCCTAATATTTAATAGCTTCTTGTTTACAAGAGACACCCAAGTTTTCTTTACAAGCACAGGGAGTTTGTGCTTTTCCCTGGAGCACAGTGAAAGGCAGACACCAAGAAACAATCACTCACCATCTTGGTGGTTACCTGAATCGGCCGGGGACTTGCTGCGGCGCATGGGCGCGGGGCTCTTGGCCGAGCTCTTCTGAGGGGTGGGCGAGGATTTGCTGCCCGTGGCACCTGCTGGGCTCCCCTTCATCACCCGGCACTCTGGGGGAACACAGACACACCTGGTTATGGCCCTGCTGTGAAACAGCTCGGTGCCTGGTCCCCAGAGAGGTGCAGGAAATGCCAAGGGCAAGGGAAAAGCTGAAAAGCTGATATCGTCCCTTGTTCTCCAGGGCTGAAAGGAGACTCGATAAGGGGAGGGCAAAGAGAACAGCTCTGCTCCTCTAGAGGAGGTGCTGAGGCTCTGTGGGTGTCAGGCTGGCTCCCACCAAACATTGTCTGCCCTTCCCTTGGCTCTCCTGAGCACAATGAAAATGGCCAACACTGATTGAGGGAACACTCAAGAAAATCCAGTTATTTTGCTGTAACCCTCCCATGTCACAGACATCTTTTATGAAAAATCCTCTCCTTAGGATTTTTTCTCCTGAAAAGCTGAGAGGCCTCAGGAACAAAATGTAAACATTGATTATCTGCTGCTGTGGAATGCAACAGGTGGATCTGTGATTGGCCCATGTTGGATGTTTTTAATTAATGGCCAATCACAGTCAGCTGGCTCGGACTCTGTCTGAGATACAAGCTCCTGTTATCATTCTTCTTTCCTATTCTATTCTTAGCTAGCCTTCTGGTGAAATATTTTCTTCTATTCTTTTAATATAGTTTTAATGTAATATATATAATAAAATAATAAATCAAGCCTTCTGAAACATGGAGTCAGATTGTCATCTCTTCCCTCATCCTGAGACCCCCGTGAACACGGTCACACTCCCGTGAAGATCCAGTACCAGGAATGACGAGTGCCCTTCCTGCAGGTGCAGAAAGCCAGCAAACAGCTCATGGTGTGCTGTAAATGAAGCCTCCAAGTGGCAGATGGGGCAGCTGCCCCAGGAGGCTTTCACCCAGCTGGAACCAGCCTCTCCTGTCCTCAACAAGCTGCAACTTTTCAGATGCACAAAGCAAAGGAGACAAAATGGTTTTACAAAGCACATCCTCTGTCCTGGCCACTCGTCCCTTTCAGCAAGGTTCGTACAAACAAGCCCAGCAGATTTATGTACTGGAAGATGTGAGCAGATGAGGACCCCAACTGTGCTTCCTTAAAAACTAAATAGGCCAGGAAGAGTGGAAAATGTAAACATGATCCACAGAGTGCTGCAGAGGGGAACTGAAATCCTAACAAACCTCCACGTGTCCCAGGATTTCAGGCATGCCTGATCTTCAGAACTGTGTTTTATTTACATTGAGAGCTAACAGAAAAGGAACTTTCCACCCCTCAAGTTATTAACTTAACCCAGATAAGAAGAAGGCAATAAAAAAGGGATTTCCTTTTTGTCAAATGCAAGCTGGTTCCACCTCATCTCCTCCAGCAGCTTGTCCTCACCAAGATGTGAAAAATGTGCTTTTTTTACAGATGTGAATTACGTGTTCCATATGCAGGCAGTTTTTTATGGACAAGTTCAGCTCAGCCCCACATGCTCCACACTGAGGCCCCCTAGAATGGAGTCCCCAAAGGAATTAAGGCAGCACAGAGCAGATAAATAATTGGTCAACTAAAATCAAGCTGTCTGACCTAAATGCGTGAGTTATTTAATTATATCTCAGTGTATCTACGAAAATATAATTGTCTCAAATTTTTCCCCAGGCTTTGCTCATTCTCAGCCAGCCAAGGCTCCATCTCTGCTCCTTCTGGATGGTTTGAGAGAGTTTTGCTGTTGGGTCATGCAGCACAAGAATGCCAGGAGAGGAGGCCTTGTGCTCCAGGGATGCTGCATGGCAAGAATTAATCCTACAGTCAGTTTATTTTCTCTCCTGCTAAACCAATTTTGGAAATTCTAAATCAGGGATAGAAAAAGTTGTGGGTTTTTTTTCTTCAACAATACTTGGATTCTTACAGATGATGTCGCTTGAAAGGCTTGTAGAGGTCCAGCCCCAGTATAGCCCCAATTTTGGGGGGCTATATTATACATGAAGAGCAGTACTGGTGCTGTGAGGGGACTCAAAGGGTGTCAGGCAGCTGTGTTTAGTCACCTGAATTACTCACTAAAAAAAACCAAAATAAACCAAAAAAGTAAAAATACTTCATGTTAGGTCTTTGCAAGAGCTTCCAAATTTATGCTCTTCCCAGGGGAGTAATTCCTTGGAAGGAAACCTGGCTTTGCATTTTCCAGCAGAGAAAGGCTGACTCTGAGGAATTCCTCCAGCTCAGCCCTTGGCAAGTGTCAGAGGCAATCCCTGAGCTTTTGCAGGAGGTGGAAACCTGGCTGTGCTGAGCTTGGTGTGGAAAGGCCTCTAAATGTCACCAAAGTGTGACATTTCCACTGTGCTGAAACCAGGGGGTACAAAAGGGACAGAGCAATGTCCTCTGGAAGGTGCTCAGAGCAGGATTAGAGGGTGGAAGCTCTGGTGGGCAGCCAGGAGGAAAAAGATGACATAATCCTGTCTTGTGCTGCTTCTCTTTTTGTTTCCTGACGTCCTGCCAGAGTGAACATAATAACCAGCAATGCTGGTGTGTGTCATCCAAACAGGCAGGAGAAATTTCCCCATGACAGAGGAGATTTTATTAAGTGACACTCATCTGCAAAACCTCAGGATTTGCAGCTCTGCTGGCAGCAGATGGATGGAAGGAGGAAGGGTGATGGGTGCGCAATGGGGAAACACTGCTGGGGCTCCTCATCTGCTCCCTGGGAGCTGCAAGGCTCCTCCAAAAACACCTCAGGAGCTGCTCACTGCCTTCCCAACAGCAAACCTGGCTTCCTTCTGCCAGAGAAATCCAAGCTGGAGAAGTGAGCAGTGCCCAGAAGAGGAGGCGGAGGGCTGGGATTTCCATCCAGTTGTTCTGCATCCAAGCTGTTTTCCAGCGTGGAGCTCCCTGTGGAGCTGACTCAGCTGCTGAGTGGTGAAAAACAACGAGAAGCTCAGCTTACTGATCACTTCCACAGGCTTTATTCTCTGCCTGCAAAGTCTCAGCTGAACCTTGGAAGCTTCTTTTGAATTGGGGTACCAAGACCATCAAATGGGTTCATCTGGAGTACACAGGTCAAAAGTACCTAAAGAAGCACTTTAGAAGCACTAAAATAAAATCAGGCTTGCAAGGGAGTAATAAAAAACTCAGTGTTTGGAGATTAGAGGCTGCTTGGCTTCCTGGCATCCAGCAAAAATCCTCTTTGGTCCTCAATACTGAGCCAGTTTGCAGCATATAGGACAGGATGGGGCTTGTGTTCCTCACACAACACACCTAGAGCTTTGGGAAGCATGCCTAGATGCTTGGAGAGCACATTTTTTTTCAGTTTAAATGGTTAAAATGACATTAATTTCCTCTTGCTGCACTCAGTGGCACCTGCAGACAGGTGGGTACAGTTGCCAGGTGGGGTGGGTGGTAAGTCCTATAAGAAATCTCTGTATATTCTGTAAAATCAAAACTTTCATGGTGTAATTGATCACAGAGACTCACGTTATTACGGATTTCTGCTGGCAGTGGTGACAAGGAAAAACAACAGTGCTGTGCCAGTCATGCCCCCAAAAAGGGAATTATTGCCCTGCTTTTTGAATCAGCAGAAGTAAGCAGTGGAAATGTCTTTTTTTTCAATTCTTGCTTGTTTCCATTTTTAATATGCATGTGTCTACATAGGGATGATTAGCTCTCAAGAAAAATGCACCTATCTGAATGTGACTGGAGAAAATTGAAAGTATAAACACTCCGCGATTTTGCAGTAAATGTCAAAATGCTCTAGGACTTAATTTATTCTGACTATACCTCAGTCAGTATTTGCCTGATTATAATATTGCTGACTGGATAAGTATCTGAAAAGGATGTTAAATGTTATAGCAGCCTTCTTGAGCCAGGTCTCATAAGCTCTTGGAGGTCTATAACACACCCAAGACAGCTCAGCTACCCTTGGAGGCATAAAAATTGGCAGGATGGCTTCTGTTGCAGTGTTGGAAACAAAAAGGTTTAAGAAAAGGCAAAATAACAAACAGAGAAAAACCGAGCCAGTTGCAAGAGATTCTTGCTCTTGGTAAAACACTCCACAAAAGCCATAAGTTTCTTTGCTCACTTCTATTTCTAGTAAATTGCCCAAGTGAGACTTTTTGGCTTCTGTCCAATTGGCTATCCTTAAGTTTGAAATTATGTCCCCTGAGCCTCTGAAGTGGCTTTTTTCAAAGAGAGAAACTTCTGGGCTTCTTTTATTTTGAAGAGACAAAGGATAGCTTTGTCACTCCATCAACAGAAAACATATTTGTCGCAGACATCTTGTATGAAAAATCCTTTCCTTAGGATTTTTTCTCCTGAGAAGCTGAGAAGCCTCAGGAACAAAATGTAAACAATGGTTATCTGCTGCTGTGGAATGCAACAGGTGCATCTGTGATTGGTCTCATGTTGGTTGTTTTTAATTAATGGCCAATCACAGTCAGCTGCCTCAGACAGAGAGTTCGAGCCACAAACCTTTGTTATCATTCTTTCCTATTCTATTCTTAGCCAGCCTTCTGATGAAATCCTTTCTTCTATTCTTTTAGTATAGTTTTGATATAATATATATCATAAAATAATAAATCAGCCTTCTGAAACATGGAGTCAGATCCTCATCTCTTCCCTCATTCTCGGACCCCTGTGAACACTGTCACACACATTCCTAGAGTTAAATTCCATGTACTGGGTCTCATAAAGCAGACCAGAAGCCTGCAGCACTGAGCTCAGACAGGAGCAGGGAAGGGCAGGGCAGTAAGGGTTCAGGGTGGGTTTGATGTTACCGCTCTCGTCCAGGGAAAAGTCGTCCTGTGCATAGCGGAACTTCTCAGGGCCACAGGCGATGAACACATCATCATCCCCAAAGAAATCGTGCAGACAGGTCACCTGCAGAGAGAGCACAGGCATGCATTTTAGTGGTAATTAATTACTTTATTATACTACATTATTCTATACTATGTTACACTATGTCACATTACATCTAAACAGAATCTGCCAAACATTCAGCTGTAAGAGCCTGAATGAGGGATGTGGGACTCCAGGAGCTCTCCAAAATGCAGTTTATTCCATCCAAGAGTTACAGCATCCAGGGTTGTGGGTGACAGAGCTGTGCCCACAGCTGTCAGCTCCAGCTGCAGGCAGGCCTGGAGACCCTTAGTTTAGGTTACAATGCATTTTCTTTGCTGAGCATCTTAATACAGTAGAACCAATCTATACCTTAATTTTTACCTATAGCCTGTCATAACTACTATAATTACCACATTCATGTTACTGTTCCCCAATCACTAAAAGTTAGTACATTACAGTTGAAGCTAGAAGTTGTTTTTCAGTTTTCTTGCAGTGGAAAATTCTGAGACCTTTTTTCTACTTGCCACATTTGCTGCCTTGTTTGCCTGTGCTTTCTGCTTGGTAAAAACATCTTGTTTGAGGTGGGTTTATCCTTTGCTCTAAGCCATAAAAACCCTTCTAACTAACACACCTTTTGCCTCCTTGGTTATCCAGTAAGACTGGCTCAGCAATTCTTTTCTTATATATCAAAACTTGCTTCCATCTCTATTCCTTCTTCAGATTCTACATTAAAAATCTTTCTGCCAAGCATACATATCTGCGAGACTTTCTTGTCAAACTTTCATCCTTCCCAACACTCAGCTCTGCACACACTGCCCAGAATCTCATTACTGTCCCCCAACAGTCCCAGCTCACACACACATACCTGGCCCTAACAGGCCAAGGGAACAAAACACCATCACTCTGGGTAAATAATCTCCATATTGCATTCTACTTTAAAATCCCATCAGCTGGGAGCTCCTCCCCATTTTCAGCTAACAGATGTCGCAGACATCTTTCATGAAAAATCCTTTCCTTAGGATTTTTCCTCCTGAGAAGCTGACAGGCCTCAGGAACAAAATGTAAAAAATGGTTACCTGCTGCTGTGGAATGCAACAGGTGCATCTGTGATTGGTCTCATGTTGGTTGTTTTTAATTAATGGCCAATCACAGTCAGCTGGCTCGGACTCTCTGTCTGAGACAACAGCTTTGTTGTCATTCTTCTTTTTCTATTCTTAGCTAGCCTTCTGATGAAATCCTTTCTTCCATTCATTTAGTATAGTTTTAATGTAATATATATCATAAAATAATAAATCAAGCCTTCTGAAACATGGAGTCAGATCCTCATCTCTTCCCTCATCCTGGGACCCCTGTGAACACGGTCACAAACAGAGATCTGCAGATAATGGACTTGCTTTAACAAGGCAATTCCTAACAATATCCTGATATCCTGATATCCCAGATATCCTGACTAAATATTGTGTCAGGAGCAGCACAGATGCTCATCTGCAACCACCGCAGTGTGGAACAGCTCCAGCAGAGCCAGCCTGGGCAGCCACAGACCCCAGCACCCAGCAGAGCCCAGGGGGGCTTCCCAAAGCTCCACTTTCCCAGGAAACCTTCCCAAGCAAGCCCAGGGTCAGCTCTGGTGTTTGTAATGGAGGGGAGAGGCTGAGAGCTGCTGCTGAGTGGGGTTTTGCCATGTCTGGGCACTCAGAGGGACTGCAGAGAGCACTGGAGATAACCATGGGGAACTCACTGCAGGCAGAGCTGAGTTTCTCTATCTACTGATCTCTTGGAGCTGGACTGTGAAAAGTTAATTTCAAGCTCTAATAAATCAGCACTAAAGAAGGCTTTTGGCTATCTTAATAAGGCTCAGTATTTCACACTGGTTAGTATAATGTATAATTAAAGCACTGCCCATGAGTGCCAGCTCTGGTTACAATGCCAAACCTTAGTGAAAAGAATGTTTTTCACATTGTCATGACTTTCAAAATGGAGCAGGCTGAAATCTGCTGTGGCTCTGATGATCAGAGTTAAAATTTCCTCTGCTAACTCCAGTGAATTCCTATTTTTGATTGTCTAAAATTAGATTGAAAATAGCTAACTTCATCTATAGAGAATTCTCCCAAAGAAAAGATGACATTTCAAACCAGCGCTTGGTATTACAGCCCTCCCCCTGAGGATGTGTGGCACTGGTTCATTTGCAAATAATTGGGTTTGGCTCAGCACACCAGTTCCCATCTGAATGCTAAGTACCACACTTGTGCCACTGAAAAGACCCATGGGTTGCTCTGCTCCGCTGTGCAGTTAAATCTGTGATCTAAACTTGGATCAAAAGGCTTCAGAAATTTCCTAGCCTTTTGCATGACATCAGAAAGGGCCCACAGATCCTTTTGTTGTCTCCAGGTCAGAAGACCAAGTGTGGATTTTGTCCTTGACTGCCCACAGCCACCCTGAGCAAAAACAAAATCCAGGCAATCAAGAAAATCTTCAGATCCAAGGGTCCAAACACGATGGAGAAGTTCCAGAGTGTCCAAGGACAGGAACCTGACTACATTTCAAACAGAGACACTTGCAATTCACTTTTCTGCATGGCTGTTCCTCCAGAGAGCAGTTATTGTGAGTAAATACACACAGTAATTATAGCTATATATATATAAAATAATATATATCTTTAAAATAATAGTGTTATATATATAAGTATATATATAATATATATAATATACATTATACATATTATACATATAATACTATATTCTATATACTATATACTATATACTATATACTATATAATATATATGTTTATATATATAAATACATATAATATAGTTATATATAATATATATATAAATTAATATATATATAAAATAATAGTTATGAACAGCTGGTGAGCACTGGAGGCTGGTAGAGAATTCAATAATCTACTTGCTGAACTCTGAATATTCAGAAAACAATCACTTCTGCCTTCACCCTATTTGTTCCTTTTTGGTTTCCTGTTGTAACTTCCACTACTCAGAGCTCACCACAACACAGCAGAAAGGACAGCCAAAACCCAACCCCAGTCTCCTTAAATAGTGCAAAACATTGCAAAATTCAGAAAATAGCTGGGCTCCTGAGCTATGGGGCCTGTAGCTCTGTTGCTTATGTTCACCATGTGTGTGGCATTTTCTATTTACCTTTTGTTTATTCAACCCCAGACCTTGATCACTGCCCTGAAACACATCCCAGATGGGTTCCTGCCCTCAGGAAGCCACTGGAGTAAACTTTCTTTGAGAAAAAATGTGATTTCTCTGCTGGATCTGAGAGCACCAGAGCCAGCTTGACTGAGGGGAGCATGGAAAAAGGAAAATGGAAAAAAGAAACCCACCAGGAAAAAGCCCTGGGTATGCTCATCCCTGCAGGACATGAAGCTGGGAAGTGGGGCCATGCTGGGATAACTGGTTTGAGACCTCATTAACCAGTATGGAATGTTTCAGGGTTGTTCTTGACAGGCAAGGCCAAACCTCTGCCTGCACTAATGTTGTAGAGGCTTTTAGTGACTCCCAAATAACATTATTGGTCTTCTCTGCATTCTTCAGAAGTTTTTTTTCTGATGTTTCCTCCATTTACATAAATAAATAAATACATACATAGATAAATAAATAAATAGATGAATAGATAGATGATAGATAGATAGATAGATAGATAGATAGATAGATGTAGTACAAGTTTCCCCCCAAGCAGTGTGGACTTTTCTTTTTGAAAGAATATTTTCTGCTTTAGCTTACTCTGATCTATCACTCTAATTATATCCAATAATTCACCTGGAACACCATGAAAAACAATTGCTGAAAGAAGCGTCACAGCAACAAAAAATTTACCCCAGATGATAACCTGAAAATAATTTTTTTAAATGCTGCATTTTGCTTTTAGTTATAAATTTATTAAAGCACAGGACAAAACCCAACAGTCAGATAGTGCAAGGAGCAATACTGCCACTTGAAAATGCTGATTTTGTTGGTGGCTGTTGTCACGCACCCTCAACAATGACACCAGGAGCCAGCAAAATAGGAAGAATTTGTCTTTCTGCAGTTTTCAGTCTCCAAACATTTTTCATCCATAACAAAAATTAAACTGGTGTTTATGGTGTTTATGGCTACAGTAGACAAGATAAATAGCATTGATTTCCAAGCATGCCTTTGTTTAAGGAAGGATAATATTGAATTTGAAATTCAGCATTGAAAGGACAATATTGACTTGGGAAAGGATCATACTGCATGAAATGTTTACTCTCCAATTCCTGTAGCTTAAGCAATTCCAAAGAAGGAAATCATATCTTCACAGCCCTGTCAATGAGGCACAAATTTATTTCTTACAAAGTCATTATTCCTAATAGGTCTGATGGTAGCATTTTTCTTTGTGCCAAGGTCTGATCTTTAAAAACCCTTATAATATATATTATGGAAGAAATAGAAGGCTGTAGAGATTAGTTTGCAATTCCTTAGGTTTTCCTTGTTAAATTAAATCCTTCTCTGCTTATATGAGAAAAAGCTTCCCTGAGAGGGCAGCCTAGCTGGGGTTTCTGCAGTGAGAGTCCATCAGTGCCTGCTGCAGCAATTTTAATTGCAGAGAGGAAAAGCTGCAGCCTTGTGAGAGCTGCGGAGCCCCTGCCTCATTTTAATACAGCACTTGTAGAACCAAGCATTTTTCAGGATTTTGACAAAATGGAGTTTGCCTCACACACACATCCCTGTATGTGAGCTCACAGTTTGCTGAAATGCCAGAAATTCTGAGTTCACCTGGAAAATGAGCAGTAAAACCACAGGATCTACACTAGCCCAGCTCGGAGTAACTGGCTGTCCCCAGCTTCCTCCAGGAGGCAGCAGCACTATTTAGAAACTGTGATTTATTAATAAATAAAACTATTAAAAAGAATTAGAAATTAAAAGTTTGAGGACTTCAGCCTCAGCCTGAATCACCCAGTGTCTTGGTTTGGAAAGCCAGGAGTCTGCTAAGGAAGGCAGGAGCCTCCCCTGAAATGGAGAATGTAAACCCTCCCCACCCCTCCAAATTGCTAT